ACTGTACTGCCTTCCTATTTGGTATAATGACTACACCGTCTAGAATAGCACCTGGGAGGATTTCATATTACGTTTTCATGATTACAACAGATATCACTACTTTGCGTAGCCTTTGTAAAGGAGCATTTCCAACTTGGATTTTTTACTTAAATCTTTATTCCTTAAAATGTTGAAAACGCCAGGTAAATTGTGTTACTTTCTTTTTTTGTAGGCAGCATAATGTTCAACAGGATGAAACCGAGAAGCACAGCAGAATATTTTGAAGATGGTATAGTGCATTCAGCTCACCACAGATTAAAACTCAGTCTCATTTGCCTCTATAGATTACATATATTGCCAAATTCTTGGATGAGTATAATTTGATTTTTTAAAATTACATGAAAAAATAGCAACAAGGGTTACCAAAAAAAAAGAAAAAAAGACTCCAAAATAAAATTCTTCACATTCATTTTTAAACTAAAAATAATTCCTGAAACTACATCCCGGGTAAGAACTATAGCAGAGAATGGGCTAACAGGAAGGTCAGGGCAGCCTGCGGTTTGCTGCAAAAACAGCAACTACTATTTCATTTGTAATTACTACAAAACAGCAATCGTTTTTCTATCAAGAGCAGGGACAGGTTTCTCAAGGCTATAAAGGCTGTTTTCTATTTTATTCTCCAGCATTTTCTAGCTCAGAGTGACCTTCCTACTCCCCTGTGGGTCTCACCAGCCATGGAATCCAGGGGAAGGGGCCTGGGGGAGGGCACGTATCCCCTGAGGCACCCTGCCTGCTCCAGCAGAGACCACCAGCTCCCACCAGACTGGCAAGTGCTGGGCCACCCACAAAATGCTCCAAGCTCCCAAATCGAGCCTCTAATCAGAAAGGCCCGTATTTCAAACAGGAGGTTGAAATCAGTGGTTGGCCATCTTTTTTTTCTTCCCCCCTCTCCAAACAACGGAGGAATCTGACTCAAGCATGAGTATACTTCATATGACAGTGATGCTCACCATAAATCTCAGCAAGCCGATGTTATCACAGTGGTTCTCAAGCCTGACTGCACATTAGAAAACACCTAGGGGCTTAAAATACATTGTAACTCCTGGGCCCCACCCCTACACTACTTAGATCAAAAGCTTGAGAGTGGGGCCCTGGTGCTGTATTTTTTCAAGTTCCGTAGATGGTTCTAGGGAAAGTTGGGTATCAGCATCTCAGACGAGTCATTCAGAAGAGGCTTATCAGAATCTTGGGGAGAATACATGTGTGATTTGAAAAAGCTTCCCAAGTCTGCTACGGATCCCCCTTCTCCCCAAAATTGGGAAACACTGGTTTTAAATGAATGTGAGATGGGTCTAGAACCTAATACGCTGCACAACATACCAGAAATGTCATGGGCTTAGGCTTATTGTGACCAGTGGCTGGGAAGCTCCAAAGCTTTCTAAAACAGCTCTCAGTCTTTACAAAAGCATTTTAAAATTATTAGCACGATTAGAAGCCACATTCTATCCTTGTGACCACAACAGAACCCTAGAAGATATAAAAAATTAAAATCTATAGAAAATGGCAGGTTATTTATAGAACAAATACTTTAGGAAAGTCTTCAGGCTAAATACAGTATATAAACCAGTGTGTGTTCAACATATCCAATTTCAGTTGTGCTTGCAAAATACTTAATATATTTTACACACAACCTTGCCAATGATGAAAAATATTCGGCAAAGACAAACATGTGCAAAGCAAAACAACAAATCACATTCATGCTCTTCTGTATTGATGCTTATGCCACATTTAAAAAATTACAAATTCAAAAATAGAGCTCCATAATCTAAGAGTTGCCTTTTTTAAAAAACTTACATTTAGTACAGTCTATATTTTTGTATTAGTTGCTTGCATAGGTACTAAGAGCATGCTTTCTGGATTAGATGGAGGCCATGCAAAATTGTTTTCATTACTTGGGAAAAAAAATTATTGGTCACACTCAAAATGCAGCTGCAAAAACAAACACTTTGGGAGTTGACTGAAAGGCATTGTAAGACACTGACTTTTCACTGAAATAAAAGCATTGGGTTTCTGCCTAAAATATGTCGTCAGGTTGAGCAATAATATGAAATTAAAAAGACAAAGCAGAGTAACAGCTCCTTGTTGTGTTTATGTGTATGATATAGGCACTGGTTTGTCAGCAAATTTTGCTGTTCTCAACTCCAAATAATACAAAGTTCAACGCGCCTCACAGAATATGTTTTATTGAAACTGTGCTTATAATTTGCGTACCATCCCAAGAATCCAACCCAGAAACACTATTATCTCTGCATCCAATAATTGTAATAGCCTACACAGGAAATGATAACTTCAGTGTTTAGTAATTTGTCAGAATGAAATGTAATGGCAGATGTCAATCTACTTTTAAAAACACATTTATTTGAAATAAATGAGCTTTGTTCGCAGCTCTTCTCGGCTCCATTTTTACTAAAAGCTGCCACTACTGTTCCCTTTACATGCTGTTCCTATTTTTTTTGTGATATTTTAGAGGGCTGACCATTTTTCTTCCCACCCCACCCCCCAAAAAATCCCCACATTCATCTCATACAAACTTGGATGACCAAATTCTAATGTAAATTGACTGCATAATGGATTTTCAACCCCTAAGTAGTAGAGACAGCTCAGTCTGAAAAAGTGGATGAACAAGTAAAATGTCTCCAAAGATGAAGGGCACTTTTGGTTGTCAGAACAGAACAGATTTGCTCAAGAGGACCACAAGCCTTAGCTGATTCACCAGAATCCATCGGACCCTTTTGTTCCGGAGTACTGTCATTCCATTCAGGACATCATCGGCGTCCCCTGGTCCATAGGCTGTGCTCCCAGCACTTCTCAGCTACAGCAAATTCCTGAAGCCTTCAGCTCACCTTTACAAAGCAGGCCCTCCACAAAGGTTTGCAGAATGAATGAATGATTACAAGAGTTTAAGGCAGCCTCACAAACAATTACAATATTTTACCATACCAAAAATACTCCTATATCCATTTCTACCAGTCCAGTATATTATTACTTACTTTCAGTTAGGCTGCTTTTGGGATAAGGAAAGACACAAAGGGTGGGACATGCTCTATGATGCCACGAAGCTTAATGGTTTTCTTTGTGCTTCCACATTCTATAAGGGATTACACAAAGGTAAGGTGGAGGGCTGTCTTAAGGAATGACATAGCCTCAGCATGCTGGATGTCTACAGGAAGAGAAATCAAGAATAAAAAAATTTAAAAACAAACAGACATTACAGATGCAACACTATTGGTGGTAATTATTTTGTGCCAACCAGGAAATGGCTGCCCTAACCAGGCACACCTGGCTGTGAACCATAAACCCAGTCCTACCATCCTTAGCAGATTTTTTAACCCCAAAACACAAACATGCTCATTGTGCCAAATATCACCAGGAAAACAAAAAGCAAGCACCAAGACCCTAACTCCTACCAAGAAACTGAACTGACTAATAATTTTCCCGTAAGATACTATACTATAGACCTCAATGAGCACCTCCAACCTTTGGGACAAAATACTCTTTTCTGTAGCTTAAAGTTGTACCTAGTAGTCAGGGATAATTAAATTTTCATTGTTTACTAATCACTGAAAGATATTAACTTAGAGATGTCTAGACAATGCCATAATAATTCCTGATTTTTTTCTATTAATTACATCTGGAACAAGGACTAAACTCCATAAGCAGACAGATAAGAGGCTGAAATTTAATTTCTGAGATCCCAGGGAAAACTACTAAAGGGGCTTGTGGAGACGTTTTTCAAGACACTAGCCATAATGGTAAATCCATTCCTACAGGACTCAAGAATAAAAATTACTATTTATCGCTGTGAAAACGGGGCTTTCTGGTTTGAACCCCTGCTGAGAATTTGCATTTCTACCCCAGATATACTGAATCAGAATCTACAGTTTAACAAGATCCCCAGGTGATTCTTATGTATAACTTCCTGGGAACTTGTTAGAAATGCAAATTCTCAGCAGGGAACTTGTTAGAAATGCAAATTCTCAGCAGGCGTTCAAACCAGAACAACCTGGGTTTGAGGACCTGTGTGAAAATGAAACTAGTGTCTATTAATGCTTAACTGATTACAGCAACAACAACAAAAGTGTTATTAAAACACTTTGTCTAATCAAGCTATAATTCTAAGACTGTTGCACAGATTCAGAGAGGTGATTTCAAATGAGATCTACCTACTAAAGATGAGAGGTTCAAATTAGACAAACATTCAATTCCTGATATTGTCAATCCCCACACTTGGTCCATCTTTTTCAGGAAATAAACACGATAAATGAAAGGCTAGCAGAGGCTAACCGCTGGCCGGGATGTGAACGTGCCGTTGGAAGTGCTAAGAGCACTGAAGGCGGTCATCCAGCAGTCACACTACAGCGGAGGAGAGGAGCGCTGCTCTGGGCTTCCGGATGTCTGTACAGTCCAACAGGGAAGCCGAGTGAAGCGGTGAGTACACGACAGACAGGAATGGGCAACAGGCTCAGGGTAAACGAATCACCTTCAACACTATGGTGACTTCCACAAGGCTGAATGTGTAAGTCTTCAACATTGCAAGGGTCTAATATTCCAGCTACCCTAACTTAAATGGTCTCCAGACTTGCCAGTTACCTGCTAATGCTCAAATTAGCAGCAAAATAAGGTTAAGTAAACCACTGGAACCATTTCCCAAGAGGTATTCAAGAAAAAAATAATAAAGAAAGGCAGTGCAGAATTCATGGCTATGCATGTATATGTATTCTAGGTACTTCATACACAGCAGTACTGAAAAGGAAAATTATAAATGGATCTGTGTACCAAGAGTTCAGGAAGAACTTGGAAGAGTCTATGACTGAGAAAAAAAAAAAAAAGTTAACATTTGAAGCACCTAACTTAGCATGCTGTGTTTCACGACAAAGTGACAAATGCTCCTCAAGGGGAACCAGGACCGTGACTCTCTCGATATTTAAAAAAGAGAAAGAAGAAGAAAACTAGAAATTGAGCAGGAAAGCATTGCCAGGATACCTCCAAAATGCTTGAAAGACCGTGTCTTGTTTATGTGTGAGATTTCTACGAGGTTCACTTTTTTTCTACACAAGAAATGCAGTTTGTACTGAGCACTGCCAGATGGCACACACTCCAAGCCTGCCTGTGAGTTCTGGTTACGAGATTAAATCTTCAGCCCAAAGAAGAAATAAATGAGTTACTGAGAAGCATTTGTCACGAAGACTAACAGGCAGACCAGAAGTGCACACGTGACACTCGGTCACACACTGTTCAACATGCCATCACCCATTTGGCATTAGGCAGCATCTGTCCTCTCCAAGTTACAAGGATACATGAGCACGCAAACGCAGGGCAGCATGGAGCTTTCAACGTTGAACATACAAAAAAAGCAACACCAGATAAGGAAAATGGCACAGACTCACACATCCAGTTCAGAACCCATTTTTTTCCAGGAAATCTTTCAAAGGTGTGAACTGCTCTACTACATTTCAAAACCCCCATGGCCTTAGCTAGCAAATGCAGGAAAGAAAAATTTCACTACTACTGACTGGCTTTCTGGCTATCCAATTTGCCACCTAGTAGGGCATATCCTAAGAGCCAAGACAGCTTACGACACACACATCTTTGCAGATACGAAGGGAGTGAACGACTTCATTTCTGCCTCTAACACTTCTATCTGTGGCAGTAGGAGAAATGACACGGTCACCCACCTGTCACCCTCTTCTTTAATCCGTTCACCGATGCGCAGCCACCCTAGACTAGCGGAGAAAATACCTGAGAAACATTAGTGTTAAAATATTGCCCGTTTACAAAGACTGGCAGATGGGGCGAAAGTGCAGAAAGCAAGTTTCCCTCGGTTTGTTTCACCGGTAGTTAGCGTCACAGTTTTTAGAGCTCCTGGTACCACATGATAATCTGCAGGGAAACAAATCCTACTCAGATGAAACCCAAGCCAAGTAACTCCTCCTTCTGCAGAGCACACTAACAATACTGTAAGTGGTTCACAGGTTTCAAAACCCCAGTGTCCGACAAGTCATTAGAGTTCTCTAGAAAGAAATATGTACAGCTGCTAAAGGGACCATCCAGGGTATCATCTACAATTATTCCAGTTAGCTTGGTATCAATGCTTTCCCTACGGCTGTTATTTGGTTCAATGGCAGAGTAAGGCGCCCGCTTTTCACAATTTACAATTGAATTCTCCTCACACGCGCACACACACGCACACACACCAGGCACGTGACCTAAAAAATACAAAACAAAAGCATAGAGGGCTTTGGTGGGAGGCGAGGGATTTTAAATAAATATTTTTACAGATAAAACACTTGGATTGCAGAAGTATCACTGAGGTTTTTGAGAAGGCCGTGCAGAGGTTTGCATGCTAGAAGATAATTTTTTTGAGGATTTCTCAGCAGGCTGCCTGCCACCAGGAGACGAGGGGATGCCAGAGTCTAACTGGGAAGACTTGGATTTGCGAGCTGACAGCAGGGAATGTTTAGCAGAAGCAGGGTCTTTGGAGGCAAGCCGCTCTTTTCCAACTGCATTTGCACTGGGCTGCTGGGAACCCGGAGGCTGGGAACCCTTCTCCGACTTCTCGTCCGCTGCACTCTTACAGGCTGACTTGACAGAGCTCCCGCCGGCCTTTTTGGAGAGCAAGGTTGTCTTGCCAAGATCAGTCGACCGCCGGGTCTCCTTCTGTCTCAAGGCTGATTTGAAGAAGGACAGCCCCTTGTCCTCAGACTTGCTGTCCCTCTTCAGACCAGACTTCACACTTGTGTTGGGGGACCGCAGGCTGGCCATGGAAGAGCTCCTGACATGCTTGCTGTCCCCTCTGCCCTCCCCCACTCTGGCCTGACCCATCCAAGGAGAGCTGGGTTTAGAGGTGGAGGAGATGCTGGCCCTGTCAGAACCCAGGCTTTGTCTGGAACCCTCTCTACTTAAGCTTCTGTCTGAAGTCCTGCTCTTCCCAGGAGGGAAGGGCCCCCTTGTGGCAGGGCCCGAGGCTTTTTTGGCAGGTGCGGAAGTAGTGTAAGCGAGGGAAGAGGCTGACTTCTGCTTCTGTGGTGAAGAAGACAGAGCGTCCTGGGATTTAGAGGATGACTCCTTTTTGGGCAGGGCAGGGGATGAATGCCGTCCACTGGCCCTGGAAGAAGAATCTGCTTTGCTCCGGGAGCGGGAGGGCTTTATAGGAACTTTTACAGGAACAGGAGAAGAAGGAGATGTACTTGAAAGAGATGATTCCTGGCTTGCCAAGACTGGTCTCCCCTTCCGCAAGCTTTTATCTGGCTCACAAGTGCCTTTGGAGCTGGGGGATCTCTTGGTTGTGCTCTCTGGTTTCTTTGAGAGTGAGCCAGGGTGGCTTGAGGGTTTCACCTCTTTGACTGGAGAGCTGTCTACAGAATCGCTCTGATCCACATAAGCAATCTGGTTATTGTTGTCAAATGGATCAGAGACAGGGGGCAAGCGATCCCCTTGTGCTGAGTTTTTGCTCCGTGCATCTACAAGACCAGAGTTCAATCTGCAGGTGCCTGTTACTTCTCTCAACACACCTTCCATGACAGCCAGAGGGGCTCGGCCCACAGCCTTGTGCTCACGTCGACTGTGACCATCGCTGGCTTCCTGGTAACTGCTAGAAAGGTTTCTCAAGCTACCAAAGCAAGAGATGGAGACCTTGTCATCCACCGCCTCCCCAATCTTCTCCAGGGTGGAGGCAGAGGTATGAATTGGAGAGTCCCCTGAGAATCGAGAAGGAGAACTGGAGCGCATCTGCAGCTTAGCAGACAGGGACCAAGAAGGTCTCATGCAATTTTCATTGACGGCCAAGGGGCTGGTGACAGAAGATCTGGACGACAAGCTTTGACGCTGGACACTTCTCACAAATGGTCGAGTTGAGAATCCTCCTGAATACAACAAAGAGAACACCATTAAGCTAAACCAACAAAACAGTTCTAATAAATCTTAAGGTACTGAAGATGGAAGGAAAGCAAGCCCTGTGGAATGGCAGGAGCAGGAGTTTCAGAGTCAGCATGTCTGGGGTCCAGTCACGGCTCTGTCATGGACTAGCCATGAGACTTTAACTTTTCTCAGCCTCAGTTCCCTCACCTATAGAACAGGGATAATGTAACTCAGGGGTTGGCAAACTATTCCCTTCACCTTCTTGCTCTATATCAGGGGTCCGCAAACTTTTCCTGTAGAAACTCAGACGGTAAATACTTGAGGATTTGCAGGCCAATCTTCTATTGTAGCATGAAAGCAGCCACAGATGACACGTAAACAAACAGGCATGACTGTGTTCCAATAAAACCTTACTTACAAAAGAGGCAGGGGGCCAGATTTGGCCTGTGGGCTATAGTTTGCCGACACCTGTTCTAATTCACAGGGCTACTGTGAGAATTAAAATCTTCAATGTCCTGTGCCCGGCAGAGCACCTGGCACTCCACAAATGGTCAATAATGGGAGCGATTGATCCAGCTTCTTCATCTCACAGAAGGACATTTGGGGCTCACAGAAGTGAAGTGCCTTGCCCAAGATCACATAAACAATGAGGCAGAGCTAAAACCAGAACCCACAACCCCCTGACCCTCACTCTCTACCACATGTAGGTCGGCCTGTAACTGTTGACTATAAGCGTGGATCAGTGGAGAGAACTAAAGAGACTTTAATCCCGAGTGAATTAAAACTTCCAAAAGAAAATATTCAAAATTAGAACACACTCCTATTCTGAGCAACTTAAAACTTCCAAAGAAAATATTCTAAATTCTATACACACTTGGTACTATAACTATGGTATTTATAAAACTCCGACTATATAACATCCTAAGAGGCAGGCCCTGTTCTATGGGCACCACCCAGGACATGATGATGCTTAAAAGGATATTGGTTTCATCAACTATACTGTTTAAAAATAGATCGGGCAAACCATAGCTAAGCTTATTGTTAAAATGACAGACATTCAAAGTTTAAAGGCTGCCTTAAGAACAACCTCTACCTAAACTAGCAAAGATTCACTAGTTATTCATGGAATGTCAGGCGCTAGAAAGGAGCTCAGCAATATTCTTATTTTACAAACAAAGCAGCAGCCAGCCAGAGGCAGTGGCAGAGCTAGTGCTACAATGCAGATCTCCTCAACCTGGCATTCTTCCTCCAGCCCCCAGCAAGTTTTCCGCCATTTCATTTTCTCAGAATTATCCATCATCACTAGAAGCAGATTACAACAATCGAAATGCTGGCTGCAGAATGAGACTTGTTGGAAGATGAGTCACCGTCCTCATTACAGACGCTGAGCTCACTCTCTCCTCCTTCCAGCTCTCAGTGCTCTGGCTTCCTGGTCCTTCCCACGCCACCTGGGGTCCCTGTTGGAACCGAGGTCTGCCTTGCCCATGAGTGCTGCACAAGTGGTAAGGGAAGGTGAAAAACCCAAGTCCAATTTTTATCAGGTTTTCCGAGTTTTTATACTGTGACTATCTTCAGAATTCCTAGAAACTATCTCTATGCAGAGGCAACAGCTTTTGTCCTTGGGGCTCCTGTACTAGAAAGAACAGGCCGCACGTTCCTCCCAGGAAGATAGCGTGGTGGAAAGGGGAGAAAGGCCTTGTGCTCGGAGTCAGAGCCTTATGCAGGGCTGGCACAGTGACCTCTCACCAAGTGGCCCTGGGCAGGTCATTTAACTTCGCTGAGCCCCTCAGACCTATTCTGCACATTTTTTTAAAGCATTTTGGGAAAAAAAAAAAAGGAAAAACATATACATTATTATACAGATTTAAAGCTCCAGCTTCCACATTAAAGCTTAAAAAATGGAAAATAATGAAGTGGAAACAGAAAGTCCTAGGTCAGGGGGGAAAAGCAAACGAGGCTGTTTACAGAAAATGCCACTGACCATGACTGCAGCCCACAGCTAGGCAGCCTCACTCTCCAGAACCCCTTTTGAGTTTTCCTACAACCTTCCTGAGGACTTAGCTCCTAAACATTTATGAGGGGACCCTGGGCTGTGTTCATGAATTGCCGTTTTGGAATTCTGTCACCAAAACCCACCATCGTCCATAATCTACAAGAAAATCCAACACGTCTACAACAAAAAGACAAACAATCCTATTAAAAAATGGGCAAAGGAAATGAACAGACACTTCACCAAAGAAGACATTCAAATGGCCAACAGACACATGAG